ATTAACACTGCACTGAGAGAGAGGGGTTCATACAGACACACTGACTGACTGGACACTCCAGTACATTAACACTGCACTGAGAGAGAGGGGTTCATATAGACACACTGACTGACTGGACACTACAGTACATTAACACTGCACTGAGAGAGAGGGGTGAATACAGACACAGTGACTAACTGGACACTACAGTACATTAACACTGCACTAAGAGAGAGGGTTAATACAGACACACTGACAGACTGGACACTCCAGTACATTAACACTGAACTGAGAGAGAGGGGTTCATACAGACACACTGACTGACTGGACACTCCAGTACATTAACACTGCACTGAGAGAGAGGGGTGAATCAGAAAGACTGAGAGGGTCCACTACCCACAGACAGGTACCTGCACAGTGATGAGCTTGTCAGCACAGTTGTCAGAGTCTGTAAGCTCTTCCCCAAAGCACAGTGTCACCTTGTACTGAGGAGGGCTTCCTCCCTCTGAGCGGAACAGCTCCAGCTCTGAAACATATAGAGCATCATCATCATCATCTCCGTCATCATTGCTATCATCATCAGCACCATCATCTTTATTACCACCATTATGTTTATTATCACCATCGTCACTCTCATCATCATGTCAAATCAACATTATTATTACCGTCATCACCATCATTATCATCACTCTCATCAACATCACCGTCACCAATACTATCATCACCATCAACATCATCACTACTGTCATCACCATCACCATTGTTATCATCACTGCCATCACCATCAACATCATTATCATCACTGTCATCACCATCACTACCGTCAATATCATCATCATCGTCGTCACCATTATTATCATCACTGTCATCACCGTCATCATCATCACCGTCAACATCATCATCATCGTTACCATCATCACCGTCACTGCCATCAACCATCACTATCATCACCATCAATCATCACTATCATTACCGTCACCATCGTTATCATCACTTCCATCACCATCACCATCATTATCACTACTGTCATCACCTTCATTATCATCACTGTCACCATCATCACCGTCAACATCATCACTGTCACTGCCATCAGTCATCACTATCATCACTGTCATCACCATCAATCATCACTATCATTACCGTCACCATCGTTATCATCACTGTCATCACCATCACCATCATTATCATCACTGTCATCACCATCATTATCATCACCTTCACCAACATTATCCTCACTGTCATCACCGTCATTATCATCAGCCATCAGCACCACCATCATTATCACCACTATCATCACCCTCATCATTATGTTTATCACTGTCATCACCATCATTGGTTTCTTGTATTATATATAATGTGTAGCAACAGAAGCAGTGACTCACCCTGCCGGAAGGCCTGTCTGTCGAACAGCGTCACTGGGTTTGGCGTCCTCTCCAGTTTCCGGGGGGCGTGGTTCTCCATGTGGAGGGTGGGGCCTGTCCAGAAGACCCGCCCCTGGCAGAACCTCTGCACGTGGATGCCCCCATTGGTGGAAGCCAGCATGATGCCCCTCTCCAGGTAGGGCAGCAGGGCCATCAGCGCGCTGCGGCGCGACGGGTCTTCTACCGCACTGGGCTCTGGGAGAGAGATGCGCTCCGTGTCCGAGACGGCCAAGGGCGCCAGCGAGCTGGGAGGGGAAGAGGGGCAGTGGGAGGGGGAGTAGGCGATCCTCACGTCGCGACTCTGGACCTCCCTCCTCAGGACCTCCTCACCTCCATACAGCACAGAGACCAGGAGAGAGGGCAGAGCTGAGGGACAGGGAGAGAGAGGGAGTGGGGATACAGGGAAAGAGAGGGAGAGAGGTACAGGGAGAGAGAGGGAGAGGGAGAGAGACATAAATGGACAAACATTAATACACTCCATCCACACACAACAGCTGCAGCGCCGGTGCTCCTCTGTCATCCCCGTACTCATTACCTGTGATGTGCGGGGAGGTCTCAATCCTGAAGTTCACCTCGATCTCGTTGACTGCTGCAGGAGACAGAGCACAGTTAACCAGGATTCCCTCGTCTGCACAGACAAGCTCGTCCATCGGCGAACAGACCTGTCAGTCTATTAGCCCAGCCCCCAGACTGACAGACAGACAGGGGCGATAAGGACAGGTGGGGAACCGTCAGCAGCTCTGTGCTGGAGCTGCTCACAATCAGGTCATCAGCTCGTTAGCAGCCATGTTAGAAGGTTACGGCCGCCGGGTACCGTGAGGGTTACCGCTCACTCTGCTGGAGGCACTGGGGTTTCGTCCAATAAACCCGCAGCAGGGGTTCGTAATCTTCGTCCTGGGAACCCACGCCCGCCAGGTGAGCGCTCAGTTATACCACCAAACCCCTCACTGTCCTGACAATAAGATGAGCCCCAAACCCTGAACCCCTCACTGTCCTGACAATAAGATGA